GTAATTGCGTATAAAACACCGTTTCAAATCCTAATAAAAGCTTTCAGGCCAAAGAGGTCTCCTTAACTAAAAAAAAAAAAAAAAAAAAACCAAATATTAATTATATTACATATTGTGATTATTAGAATAGTAAAGATCTTAATTATAGTAATTCTAATAGGAACTAACTCAACTTTAACTAAATCAAAATCACAAAAATTTTCAAACTTAATCTTAACCATATAAGTTTTTTATTAAACTTTTATAGTAGCTTATAATAGAAATTATAATAATTCAAATACTGTATTAACCTCAACTACGAGAAATAACAATAATTCAATAAATTTAACTCAGTCTTAAACACATACTGTGGTTGCTAAAAAAGCAAGTTTTGTAATAAAATTTTTTAAGATAACTTAAATAAAAATCACAATAATTCCAATATCAAAATTTGGCTTAATATATTTATATAGTATATTATTGGAATAGTGATTTAGTTTTGTAAAAAGTTTTTTTTTTACAATAATATGATTAATATCATAATAATTCCAGTGTAACAAATCAGCCTCAATCACATTATATGGACAAAAGAACAAGAATTTTTTACAGTATCTAAAAGGGCTACCAGAAATTAGCTAATTTCTTAGGAGGGTTTGCGGTCTAGTCAGGTTATATATAATACTTGTATTCTGATTGGTTAGTACTATCAGTACAATATGTATAACAGGTAATACGTATCTGTGATAAGTTATACAATCTGTTATATATATGTACGTATGTATGTTGTAGAAGGCTAAGCTAAATGGATAATGATTAACTAATACACAAAACCACTAAACACTACTAAAAATATATGAAGTGGCAAGACCAAAACTCCAAAATTGGTAGGTATCGATCGAGGCATGGAAGACTTGGTCCGAGTTTTTCAGAGCTTGGGTCTTGTAATCACAATGCTAGGTCTCCTTTTGCTTCGTATTTGATATTAGTTTGTATTGTATTATGTCAATATAATACTTTATAACTCTACTTATTCTTTTTTTTGAATCTACTGCTTATTTTGAGATCACGAGAGATTTAATTGATATACGTAATCATAGAACAATGACAAAATTAATCAAGGTTTAATCAATAATTAATTTAATATAAAAGGAGTTCTAAGTACTAATCGTTAATTCTTTCTCTTTACTCTTATATTACGAAAATACTCAGTTTTTACTTTATCATGGGGACAAGGGTAATAATATAAAGTAAAAATTTGATAATGTTTTAAGCAAAGTGAACTACTACTATTATGACTTCATAGTTAGAACTCGAAATAAGTTACTTTTATTTCAGCATACATTGGGTCTTTATATACATTTTTGTTACAAGAGGATTAATTTAACATATCTTCTTTATCTGTTTGGTTTATATTATTTACTCTTTTCGCTACTCCTGCCTGATCAGCCATTTCTGCTACCAAACAAATCAAGCAAAAATTATACTGAGTTACCTCAGTGACAATCTTTTTCTTTTACAACATACCTGATAACATAATAAGTTATATGTATCTGATATATAAGTTATATGTATACTGTATTTAAAGCTATTAATTTCAACAATATTAAAGTCTTTTATATTTTTAAAAAAAATAGAATTTATACACATATATATAAATTATACATACACACTATGCACACATACGAGATCTTCAATAATACAATACTTAAATCGATCATGACGAATTTGATCTTACATCTGAGAATAATCAATAACTACAAAGATATATAACTTTTAAAATTTAAATATATTTTTTATTAATCATGCTTTTTATAACACTAGAGACTGCTTTCTTATTCACTTCTTTGTACATTCTTGCTCAGCAGAATCTATATATTATGAACCAGCTCTTAATCTAATCTACCAACTGTATTGGTTTTCTTAGTTAAAAAATTAAAAGAACTTAAATCAGTCATGTTTATGGGAGTATAGATTTAAATAGGTGAGAGTTTGACAATGCTATTTTTGTTTCTAGATTATGTTTTATATTTTTCAATTAGTATCTAGCAATAATAATAGAACATGTACTTATAATTATTCATTTAAGTTATTCTTATCTTTATCTAAGTGATTCAGTTTCAGAAAAACTATGTTTGAAATCAATTTCTTCAAGCATATATAGTTCTATAAGCATATAAGGTTGAGAGTATATAAACTCAAGTATTGCTGAGCAGTGTGTTGAGACTGTTTATGTTTTTGAACAAAGGTCAAGGTAGGAAAATACTTTCCATATTCTGAACAACACAAACGTTGATGCATTTCCTCTAAAATAGTTGAATAGTATTTGTCATAGAATAGAATTTTAACTTGATTGAAGTGTTCAAGAATATAAATTGGATTTAAAAAATGTTTATCATGTCCTTTAATCATTGGAGGTAAGAATCCATTGTTTTCCTGCAGTAAAGTGGTTGCTTCAGGTATGTGGAATAGCTTACAACAATTTATATTGCTACATTTACGAATATTGAGCGAATAGTAGCAGATTTGATAGTGGTCTTCGATCCATTGCTATAAAACTTCTTCTTCTTCTTCAAACACATCAATGTGCATATCTACATATGTAGTTTTAACAGACCTTTCATGGCTTTGATCATATTGCCAAATATTACAAAGCTTTTCTTCTAGGAATAGAATTATATTACAAATATTATAATCTTGCATTATATATGATTAATATAAGTAAATTGGTTTTCATATTTTTGAATTATACCTGAAAAATGGAAATTTTTTTTTGCTAATTTTTCATTAATAACTTTTTTCTGAGAATTGAGATGAGTACCAAAATTATCTATAGGCAATATGATTCCAGCTAACTTAGATAAGAGAGGCGCCATGCTTCTTTCCACAGGATTAAAAGAAGACTAACTAGATACATGAGTACGGACAGTTAAGTAATCAAGATCCAAAAAATGAAAAAGTTTACAATACTCTAATATATTTTTTAAATGTTTTGGATTTTCATCTGGCTCACTGTCAACTAATAAAACCTATAATGGCTTAATTTTTTCTTCTATGCAGATAACTTCATCATAGTTTTTCGAATTCGTTATTGAAATCAAATTAGCTATATGTGTCAATACAGTTGTATCTATGAAATATTTGGGTCAAATGTAAATTGAAAGGTGTTCTGAATAATAATTATCATTTGTATCATTTGGATTAATCAAAAGATATACAGATGGAATCAATTTTATTTTGCTGCCCAAGAGAAAATCGTGATCAGGTATAGAAACAGGTTCATTTATTGTTTTGATTGATTTGAATGTTTGCTCAACTGCTGGAATTCCCAAAGGAATCTTTAACTTATTATCTTGAGATATTATTATGGAATGATTATGAAAGGTTGTAGCAAATATTTGGGCACTTTTTACCAAAGCGAGACAATAATAGCTATCTGGATGATCAGATTTTTCATTTCGTGACATGAATTGAATTTGTATTAATGTGGAGTGGTGGTGCCGTTTCACTGAAAGAGTATTCAGATGTTTTGGCCAAAGGTAGGTTAACAGAGTTTGTCTACTAATATAAAGGTTATATTTTTCTTCAAGTTCTTTTTTTAAATGTAAAATAGTTCTAACTTTTATTATTGTTTTTCTTCTTTTTTTATTTGCTTCACTGAATTCAACGCAATCATGAATTTGTTTGAGAAAGTCTGGGTTTTGTGCAAGAATTAACGGTTTTTTAGCACCCTTCTATTGTTCGACAATGCCTTCTTCTTCAAGTTGTTTTTGTTTTTTAGCCATCATCTGGGCTTGATTAGCCACATGTTGTTTAAATGCTTCAATTTTTTTATCATTTGTTTTAATAATATTTTTTTGATCTTGTATTTTAGCAAAAAGATCACTTCTAATATTAATATCTGAAGCAATATTGTATAGAGATTCAAATTCAATAATCTTATTCTTTGCTGTTTTAATTTTTTTATATGAAGCTTTTTGAGCAGCAGCATTGAGACATATTTCATACTCCTTAAAAGTTGAAATAGTAGAAGGAAATAGGGTAGACACTGAACTTGGTCAAGATGATTTACTAGAATTTGCTTCGAATCTGATTGATTGCAATGGAATTGGAGTATTTAAAAGAGTTCATATTTCTTTTTAAATACTGTTATGCTTTTTTTTTCTAGTTTCACACCATTTTTTATTTCCTTCTTCAACTAATTTAGGTTTTAATGGTGATAGATTCGTGGTTATAACCATTTGATTATAAGCAAAAGCATTCATAAAATGTTAATACAAGGTATTTGCATCTGGATATAATAGCTTTTTATTAAATTTTGGCATACTTAAAAACATTTGCATTTTGAATAAAAATCTAGCACTAAAAACTTATATGAAAGGGTATAGTATATAATTTTTTTATTGCTTGCTTTTTATTTAAATTTTTTTTTTATTTTTGATTTTGTAAAAAATCAACCTTTTTATAATTAAAAGGGCATCCATAAATAATGTTATGTTTGAGGGGGGGGAGGGGTCCCCTAAAATATAACAATTTTTCAATATTTAGAGAGGGTCCCCAAAATATAACACAATTTTTTTATAAGAATTTGTCTAAAATTTGATCCAGTAATCCAAATTGGATGCTTTTGGTACTATTCGAATCCTCTCAAGGAGAGGAGTCGAATAGTACCAATTTCATTTGATTTGGATCACTGGATCATGTTTTATTAACAAAATACTATTGGTTATTATATTTTCTTATAAAATTACTATAAATCAACAGTATTTCGTTAATAAAACGTTATCTAGTGGTCAAAATAAAATGATTTTGGTACTATTGGATTCGTCTCACTGAGACGAATTGAATGACACCAAAATTATCCTAATTGGATTACTAGGTCATAATATATCCAAGTTTTTGTAAAATTATATATATAAACATATATATAGTCTAGAGGTGAGTCAAGAGCTACTATGTAGGGGTATATAATATTATATGTGGATGTTCCTAATTACTAATTAAAAAATTTTTTCTAACAGGGTCAACTTCACATAGTGCCTCTACGGCCAGACATGTGGCTCAATTCAACCTATCTCGCAATATCATAATTAGTGATCTACTGATGTTACAATCTGTTAACGAAACAATATCTAATGCTTCCTTTCCAATCACATCCCTAACCGACTCTGAAGCAGCTTTGCTCCAACAGTTAAATTCTGATTACTTTAATATCCAAACACCTATAAATATTTATATTCTTCACCTTTTTATGTGTATGTACCCTAACCAGCCATTTATCAAATACTAGTATTTCTATAAACTGAACTGAAACCGAACTTTGGTCAAGTTCAGGTTTAGATTCAGTTCAATTATGTTCAATATTGAACTTTTAAGTGGGGTTCATGTTTAGTTCAGTTCAATATTGAACTTTTAAGTCAGGTTCATGTTCAGTTCAGGTTTAGTTCAAAGTTTATAAACATGTTCAAAGTTCAATGACAAAATATAGAAAATTTTCAAATTTGAAATTTTTTAACTAAAACTTTGTCTTCGCAATTATATGTTTTCTTCTTTATATAAATAAAGAAGAAAGCATATAGTTATAAAAATTAAAATACTTATATCTCGCAATCTACTAGATCAAAATTAGCGATTTAACTACTATTTTTATCACAAGATACTCCTTTACAACATTAGTCAGAAGCTAAAAAGGGATTTACTAAGCAAATATTTAAAAATTACAATATTTCTATAATTTTATTAATAAAATTATAGAAAATATTAAAATCCACAAAATTGTATTAATTTAATCTACTTTAATGCTCTAAGTAAACTGGTTCTATGCATAAAAATACATCATATCAGCATATGTTTATCTTATAGTTTTAAATTTTAAGAGAAAAGATGCTTAATTTTGAATTTTTGATTAAAAATTTAAAATTAAGCATCTTTTTTTCTTAAAATTTAAAACTATAAAGTAAACATATGCTGATATGATGTATTTTTATGCATAGAACAAGTTTACTTAGAGTATAAAGATAGATTTAATTAATACAATTTTATGGATTTTAATATTTTCTATAATTTTATTAATAAAATTATAGAAATATTGTGAT